GTGGGTGTCTGGTGGTAACAATGTGTGGTGCTTCTCGGGCTTCGAGTGTCCGTTTTGAGATCAGTTTGCTCCCACACTTCCTTTTTACTCGCATTCTGAATCCCTCAGTGTGCTTCTCTGGCCCTGAACCCTTGTTTCTTCTTTTCTTGCTAGAGAGATGCATGCTTTAAGACATGGCCTCAGTTTTATTCCTCATCTGTCAAGGTGGTTTGTTTGGGTGGCTCCAGGATTGACAGCTTGCACATGGCTTAGATGATGTTTACAATATGTTCTTCTGTGGTTTCTGGTTTTAAGGAATTAAATTGAACCAGGAATTTCATATGAAATAGGATTTTTGAAAGAGGTGGGAGATCACAGAAGTTTTGTTTCATTATTCCATTTTTTAAAAAAATGATTGTTATATGGATGAAATTCCTTTCTTTTGTCTTTGGCCAGATAGAACAAGCAACTTTTATGATTTCCTACTTTGTCTTTAGTGTACTGTATTTTTCAATTTAAAAGAATAAAAAAGCCTGAGACTCATTGTTAGGTCTGCTGCTCTCTAATGAATCGTTGGATTGGAAAATAACTCATTATATCATCAGGCAGAGATATGTTCCTTTATTTGCATGTAGATAGTGAAGATGAATAATTTATCAAATGTTATTAGTGCAGGCTGCATATTACTGGAGTCTTAGCAGGGATATAATGAAATTTGTCTCATCCTACTATGAACATGACATGCCTTTGCACAGCCATGACTGTACCTTGGGCATCTCTCAGAAAACTATGGTGTAGTCATGCCAGTCTTGTTCACCTGCCCAACCGCTGGACTTTTGACTGAAGAGTTCAACTTTCCTTGAAAATCTCTGAAATTTGGTTTGCCAAACACTTGCTTGACTCTAGCTGTGTTCTTGTGTCAAAGTAAAACTTTATAGAATGAGTGGATTCCTTAATGTTTCTTATTAAAGTGATTAGTGCAAAAAGGCTGTGACTGATGGTTTTATTACTTCTGGTCGTGAGAAGCTGTCTGTTCAGGAGATGTTTAAGCAATCTGTCTTTCTGAAATGAGGGGTGATGAGACGTGTATATAATTGCTTAGAATCTTATATCTGCACTAATTATGCATCTGCAGTTATTTTAAATGATTGCCTTATAAAGGTTGCCTTTGATTTGCCTTTGGCATGATTGCATTGGGAGCTCAACAAATTACCCCCCAAAAGTCACAATAAAGCTGTACAAATGGTCAAAAGCAAATTATGCCTTATTTTGGAACTTGACTAAAAGCATTCAGCAAATTGAGAAATTTATTTATGATGACAACTGAAGTCTCTTTAAAAACAGTATAAGTCTGTGGTGTTGTACCGGGGCTGCTCCTGTTTTCTCAGCTGCTGGACAAGTTCGTTCAACCAGGGGGAAGCGGGCTGTAAAAGTGAGGAGCTTTTTTTTTGCTGCTGCTGAGATGGCTCCGTTGATTTGGGGAACTGTCAGTTATGGTGGAGATTTTGGTGGCAAGTAATAGAGAAGGTCTGCAACTCTACTGGACCTAGGTTGCTGGCATTTGATATACAAACTATGGACAGGCGAACTAGCCTGGGTTTAACAGGGAATTCTTGTAGGTGAAACAGTGATAGGAAGTTTGAGAAGCTCTCCACGTACTTTCAGTTGACTGGAGCTTCTACATGAACAGAGCAGAGGCTGGAGTGGGCCCAAGCCACCAACCCTTGTCTGCCTGATGGAGCCTGCATGCACATCCACAGGACCCCGGAGAGGACCCAAGGGTGCCAGGGAGAAAAGACAAGGTGGGGCCAATTGGAAATGGCCCTAACATGAAGTGCCCTCACTGGCTTACTCAGCCATTGGTAGAAAGTAGGAATCTGCCTTGCTCAAAGTGTTTAAGAACGAGTGTGATCAGTCTGACTTCACAAAACACTGTCAGTACAGAGGTGACTCCGAGGAAGCCATTCTCGAAACGGGGATATCGGCAACCATCCATTGTGGAGAGGAAGAGCTTAGTAGATTTAGTCTCCACAGATCAACTGTCCTTGGGGGGCGCGATGTGGATTTCGACTTGCTATGATATGTAATCCAAGAGGTCAAGTCTTCAGACGCTGTCATGATTCATTTAAAGAAATCGAGCGTAACCATGTTCCTGATGAAGAATAGTTGATCCTTGTTCCTCAGTGACCAACAGGGTTGGGTTTAGAAGACAAGGATTCAAGAAAGTAAGGGAAGGCATAGTGGAAAAATCCAAGAAAAGGATTGTGACAGTGACTTGAAAATAGAAATTGTGAAGAGGAACACGTGGAGAATCTGGAGTTGAAAAGCGCAGAAGCCGATTGAAGCCTTCGTCGGGGCCCCGCTGCAGGTTTCCAGGTGGCAAATTACCAGTCACGGTGGAGAGTGATGAGAGAAGTGATCCTGTCTGAAGAGCAGAACTCAAGTGAGCAGGACCTCTCTCATTGCCGACTTTAGATGTCGCTGACTGGATGAAGGGGTACTCGGCTCTCTGGTGAAGCGTCTTTACTGTCCATGCTGTGACGGGCACGGAGCCTTCCCCCTCTGCTGAAAGGGAAGCTGTGAGGTTTTGATTTTGATTAGAGCAATGAAGATGCCCTGGGTGTGTCTGTGATTTGCTTCCAGAGGGGATGGCCTTGGGGGTTGGTGAACTGGGTGGTGAAGATTTGCCCTCAGGGTGGGTGGGGACTATCCAGTCACCTGGAGACCCGGTGGACAAAATGGGGGAGGAARGGTGGATTCTCATTCTCTTTTCAAGAGCTGGAGCACTTGTTTCCTCTTTGGCTTTGGACTTCAGAACTTCAGATTCTTKAGCCTTTGATCTCTGAGACTGGTACCAGTTGCTTCCAGGGCTATTAGCCTGAGCCTTGACTGCAGACTTGCACCATCCACTTCCTGGGTTCTGAGGCTCTGTGCTTGGTCTGAGCCGTGCTCCTGGCTTCCCTGTTCTCTGACTTGCAGATGGCCCATCGTGGGAACTCTTGGCCTCCACAGTCAAGTGAGCGGACTCCCTCATCAATCCCTTCCCCTCTCTCTCTGTAGCCTCTCAGTTCTGTGTTTCTGGAGAACCTTGAGTAGACGACCTCAGAGAGCTCTGTGGCCACATCCAGCACACTGACACAATGTCACGGGAGCCGCAGAGGACTAGGATAGAGAAGAGTTCAAAAACTAAAACAAAAACCTACTGGGAGAAAACATCACAAACCTAAGGAAAAACTTTGTGGATCAAAAAAGCTAACTCACTTCCATATGGAAAAATCGGAGATCCATGCCTGGACTCCCATCAGCAAACTGTTGAAAGGCAAAGTGAAAATTTTGAAAGGAGAAGTAGTAACGCTTATCAGGGAAACAACAATGAGATTAATAGTTAACATGAGAAGTCAAAAATGTCAAAGGAATGTGGCATGTTCAAAGAAAAAGCTGGCAATTAGTAACCAATTAATGAAAATTATCTTTCACAAATGAAGGAAAATATATTCTCAAAGAATGATTGTTGCTAAATGACTTGATTTAGAAGATACTAGAAAGTTCTTCAGGCAGAAAGGAAGTAGTATCACATGAATTTCAAGAAACAACAGAAAGTGCTAGAAACGGTATACAGGTGGGTTAATATACTCCTATAAGTATGTATTTCATGTTTTTTTCTCTTTTAAAATGAAAATTATAGCGCTGTTTTTAGCTTTGTGCAACTATGTATATTAAGTGTGATAGCAATTCCATTAAAGAGGAAGCAGGAAGAGAAATGGTCTCAGCTGACTGAGAAGTGATCTCAGACCCCTACTGTACAGAGAAGAGGCTAAGTAGATCCTAGACCTCAACATAAGCACATAAGAAGAAAACACACAATCTTCACGTCCTTGGGATAGGCAGATCTATGAGTTCTTAGATATGAAAACAAATCCATGAGCCATGGAAGGAAAAGTAGAAAAACTGAACATTGAATTGTAAAGCATTTACTTTTAAATAGAAGCTACCATCATGAAAATGAAGCTTCAAGCCACAGTCTGGGGGAAAATATTCACAAATCTCCTGATGAAGGTGGGCATACAAAATGGTATCACCACTGTGAAAAGCGTCTTTCTTAAAAAGGTAAACATAGATTCACCACTCGACAGTTTTACTCTTAGGAATATGTGCAAGAGAAATGAAACATGTCCATAGAGACATTATTGTAACGGCCATTCTGTGAAACAATCCAAATATCCATCATCTCTGGTCAGTGGGTCAGCAAAATGTGCCGTATTTGGTATGGGACTATTTTGAGAGGTGACAGAAATGGTCTAAAGTTGGGTAATTGTGTTGATTGCAAAACTGTATAAATTCACTTACAATCATTGAATTGTATGCTCACACTGGGTAAATCTTACAGGATACAGCATATGTCTGAGTAAAGTTGTAGAAAATAGTACTGTACATAAAAAACCACATGACAAATCTGGTAAGATAAATGAAGAATGTGAAAGGGGTATGCAAATTCTTAGTACTATCTTTTGTATAAGCCTTAAATTATTTTAGTACTTAAATGTTATAAAATTGTAATGGCACTTAGTAGTAGTCTGATTTTCTTATGTGACAATTTATAAAAATAAATTTAAAAAGTGTTTTAAAATATCGAACCATAAAATGCAATTTTATCTTGGCTTTTGATTATTCTTTGATTTTCTGTTTGCTTTGAGGGGCTTCTGTTTTTGTTTTTGTTTTCAATAGAGCATTCATACCTGTGGGACTCTATTCCGAGGACTTGTCTCTTTGTTTCTCAAGTATACAACATGAGTATGCAACTTAGTGTAAGCAAAACACTTTTAACTGCGGACCTAGAACACAGCTGTTTTTCTTCTGAACTTTTTCCTAGGTTCAAATGACCACACCTTCTCTAGGGTGCTTTTTTCTTTCCCCTCATAAAAGACGAAACTAAATGCAAACGTTAGCACATTTGTTGAAAGCGGAAAATTAAAGTGGAGTTGTGCAACTCACTAATGTATACTTATGTTCTTGATTTGAAGGCCACTCTGTGCGACTTCTGGGCCAGAAGAAAGATAATGGAAAGCGGCTGGGGGGAGCTCGCTTGGATTTGCCCAAGATCAGGAAGAACCCACTGATAGAAATAATTTCCATCAATACTGGGTAAGTGTCTCTCAATCTTACTCATAAAATATCCAGTATTCTGTGTGCTCACTTTTTTTTTTTTTTTTTTTAATACCCTGGACATGTGATGTTGAAAAGTAGTTGAACATTTTCTTGGGAAAGAAAAATCATAAAAGTTCAAAAGTTGTGGCTATAAGGTTCTTCTAAAATGTTTTCTGTCTGCAGATTACATGTTTGCAGTAGGATTTTGTGTCTTTGATATTCTTTTCATTTTTGGTAGTAAATACAGGTTTCATTTTCTAGCTATGTCCTTGGTTAAAATCTTTTATAAAAAGAACATTCTCTGGAAGAGCTAATGACCCATCGACTTTGCTTATTTGTTCAATGGGGTCATGGTAAATGTGGTCCAAAACACAGGCTTTCATTATTAGTTATTTGAAGTGCTTATTTTGTTAGGGTACTTTAGTAGTGCTGGGGTGGAGCCTGGGGTCCTGCCCACTCTTGGTGAGTGCTCTAGCATTAAGCTGCATCCCAAGACCTGATGCTGTTTTAAAATRTCATTCTTTTAAACTGGAAAAAAAATAGCCACATGATTATGATTATCAAGTACATTTTTAATTTCCACACCTTTGTCTAAAATCCTTCTTGATTATAACTCTTCCTCTAGTTACTAATTCTTGCATTGATTTAATTTTGGTTTCTTGAAAAAGGAAGATTTTCTCTAAATCCGAGGCGACCTGGGGCTTCTGTTCTGGGAGCCCTGGGAGCGCCCGTGTCCCCCAGGGATTAAGCTGGCCTGCTGTCTCCTGACTGCCACTTGCCTCCTGGCCTTGGGCCCCTTTCCCCTTCCTTTCCCCCGAGGACAGGTGGGCTGAGCATCCTCCCCTGTCTGTCTCCTGCTCTGTGGCAGCTGGGTTCCTCGGCTCATCTCTCTCCAGTCTCACTGCACCGTGGTTCATCCTTCACTCTGTTGGCAAAGGCGAGAGAAGGCTAAAGGAGTAATCTGGTCTTCAGTTCCAAGCCCCTTGGGGTGGCTCCCAGTTGGCCTGGGGGATTGGTTGTAGCCCAGCCTCTGGCCTTTAGCGCTGAGGATCAGAAACCCAGACTCCAGGAGCTGGGAAACCAGAGACTAACCAGAGTAAACAGTGAGAAGCAAGGTGTCCCCTGGCCGAGCGCCTGGCACTCTCCCCTGGCTGCAGCCACACTCCCGCACAGGGGTTTCTGTTCCCTTTCTCGTGTTGCCGTTTCCTCTTCCCGGACATAGCGGTGCCTCTTTCAGCTCCTGGGTTTCCTATTTAAGATTGCCGTGTTCCTGTTCGCTTTCCCTGTATTTGCCCCATTTTCCTCTCTAACTTTCATCACCATATAAAAAATACACGTATGCTCATTTATATCTATACTATATTTTCTTCATAGTGTGGATTGCCTTGCCCACTGGACAGTAATCCTTGACGTTTGTAATTCTTTCAAGTATTTGGAAGTCATTCTTTAGTTTGCTGCCTAAGCATGCTTTCTCCCAACAGTGCCTAGAGGGCCAAGTCACAATGTTTTTGAGTCATCTTTTTTTTTTTTTTTTTTTTTGTACATCAATTCCCTTTTGGGCAGACACATTCCTTTGTCTGTGTTACCATGTCACTGTCTGTCAGCCCCTATTGGACCAGGATCTATGTGTGTCTTCAAGACAGCTTTCCCCTGCTTTGAGCCTATGACGTACCTACCTTAGCTGTCTTCTAGAACCCCTGTGCTTCTCCATTTTGTCTGCACACGTTGCTCCCCGTGGTTGGTCATCCTGAGGTCCCTGACACTGTCCCATTCTAGACCTTTCTGTACTCTGAGGGCTTTCTGCACATGGCTGTCCTTCCCGTGATCCTTCAGTGCTCAGTCATGTCTGCTGTCCCTGGAGGGCGGTCCTGCTTCACGACTGGGTCACTCGCTCTCCTCCGTTGTGCACCAGAGCCTTCCCTGCTCGGCAGACATGGCCCTTGGACCTCCTCATTGACAGTCCTCTTGGGTGCTGGCAGTACTCCAGTTATTTTCACCTTCTTACTTCCAAGTTCAGTGTCTAGTACAAATTTAGTTCTTAGTAAATATTTGTTGAATAAGTGTTTTAAGGCCATTATTTTTTGTTGCTAGATACTAAAATAAAAAAAAATTTCTTTTTTTTTAAATGTTTAACATTTCAAATTAAAAAATGCTTCAGGTAACCATTTAAATAGCATTAGATTAAAATTTTTCACGTATACTCTCAATTTTCCTTGTGGATTTAGTATTTTCTTCAAATGGAACTCTATTCTAAGCTACTTAGAGCTCACTGGGAATTTGCTGTCCCTCTCATCTTCTCCTAATACTTCATACTAGAATATAGAATTGGTCCTTTATAAGTACATTAGCAAACACACCTGGATAATGAGAGACCTCGATGCACGTCGTCTTGAATTGGGATTCTAAGCTGCTGACTGCTCCTCCTCCTGTCACAGTAATTGCCACCCTCTCACATGCTCATGCTGGTGGCAGCCTCACGAATACCTGTCCACAGCATCCTTCTGTATCACCGCAGCTTGACTTTCTATTTTTGTTTTTTGCTGCCAGTGGAGCTCTGTCCTTTTTATTTATTTTTTAAACACTAGCTTTTAAATACTTTAAAATTGTTATAAGCATAGTTAATTTTTCAATAGAAAATTATCCTTAGGGACTGTGTTGTGGCTCAGCAGTAGACTGCTCACCTAGCACATGCAGGGCACTGGGTTTGATCCTCAGCACCACATAAAAATAAAATAAAGGTTAAAAAAAAGAAAATTATTCTTATTACCACAATCCTAACACTCTTCAATAGTGAGATAGCTATTTCATACAAAGTTTTCATTTAAGAGCGTCCCATTTGCACCCCACTTTTATTACATGCATTGGTGAATTGTGAAGCTACCATGAGACTGCACAGAGCTGTGATGCTCCACTGTATTTCTAAGATAAAACTATAGAAGGAATATTAGTTGCTTTCTTCAAGGCAGAAGTTGAACATGTGGATAGGCTGGAGGGACTGCTTATTTGATCATAGTATGTATAATAGGTTTGCTAGTCCTGTTTTCAAATTATTCCTATTATAAAGAAAGATACAGAAAACAGTTATATGGGCCCTTTTAATTTTAAAATAACATCTTTTTTGCTTCATATTCTTCCTTAACTTTTTGTTCATTGATCTGTTTCTATTTGTTTGCTATGTTGACTGTATATATTGCTTCCTATAATTAATCCTCACAACACCTTAAGAGATTTTCTTTTAAATATGTAGATGAGGAAGCTAAGGTACGGAGGTTAAGTGGCTTCATAACTGCGCAGCAAGGAAGTGACAAATATGGACTTACCTACCGATGTCCCCAGAAGGGATTGAGAGTTCCCAGGAACCTGGAGTCCTGTTAGTACAGTCAGCAGAGAGGGCTCTTGTGGGAACAGAATAATCTTTGCATTTTAATGACCTCTCAAATGGTTCCTAAAAGTTCAGTGGAGCTTTGGTAATTGCTAAGGGAGCTGTATTCTATGTTGATGGCTGCTGTAAGAAATTAGCACAAACTTGGTGGCTTAATGCCAATTTATTATTGCATGTTCTTGGAGGACAGAAGTCCAGCATAGTTCTTGCTGAAATCAGGTTGGCAGGACTGCATTGGGAGGCTCTGGGGAGAACAGGTTTCTTTTCTTTCCAGCACCGACAGGCTGCCCCCATTGCTCTGGGCTCTCTGCTTCGCTCTTAGGGCCACAGCACTCTCCTCCCTTGGTGGCTGTTCCATGTTCCCTCTACCTCTTATACTTTCAGTGGCTTCCTTGGACCACTGGAATCCTCCCGGATCATCGGTTTTAATGTCAGCCCATTGGCAACTTAATCCCACGTGCATCTGAAATTCCCCTTTGCTACTCAAGCTTCTAGAAGTTAGAAGGTGGACATCTTTGGAGGCCCATTGTCCTGCTTATTGCTCGAGGTTTGAAGAGAAAATATAGGAAGAGAGAAACAATAAAGGCATGGAAATAGAATATGTGAGTTTTCTCACTTATTATGTGAGAAGTATGATTGTTTCCTCTTACCTGGAGTTCCAAGCATACAGATGAAAATTGACAAAAGTATTTTTTATGTAGATAATCTAGTTGCCCCAGCGTGAAGCCATAGAGGATGGGGGAGCCACTGTAGCTGGGGCAGGTGGCAGCCATGATCAGACCAAGCATCAGGAGAATCATCCAGCAGTCGTAAGGTGGGTGCTGTAGGGGCAGAGGGGGGCAGGAAGAGCGCTTAGCAGCCATCGTGGTCACCCAGCAGGGAAGGAAAGAGGGCAGAGGGTAGTTTGGGGGTGGGAAGCACATAGACTGTACTCTGGTGGAGTTTACAATAGTGGGTTTGGAATTCCAGAGAAAGGTTGGCGGTAGGATGGCAAGGCCAGAAAGAGGCTTCTGGGGGAGCCCAGGGAGCACACAGGGTGGCTCGTGAGTGTCTGGGTGGGAGCAGGAGGCAGGAGTCCTGCTGAGTCCCCCAGCAGTCAGAGTTGACTGCCTTGCAGTGTCTCAGGGCACCCCATGCCTCAGGACATGAAGGGTGTTGTAGACTGAGAAAGTGAGAACCAGGTGAGAAATCAAAGTATAGAGGAATTCCACCGTGGAATAACAGAGGTGAATAACAGAGGTGGTCTTTAGAGAATAGAAAGCCTCCCTCCCTCCCTCCCTCCCTCCCCTCCCTCCCCTCCCTCCCTCCCTCCCTCCCTCTGTCTGGGCTTGCTGGGGAGCAGATGGGCCAGGCTCAGGAGTCCCTGCAGGAGGAGCAGCAGATGGGCCAGGCTCAGGGGTGCCCTGCAGAAGGAACAGTTTACATGGGATCCAGGGCCCAGGAGGAGGAGTCGGCCCTGGTGGGAAGGGCTGCTTTCCTGCTCCCCAGAGATGGGAATTCAGAATGAGAGCAAGCACAACAAGTTGTCAGTTTGTTTTTACTAAAGGGTCGTCAGACAGCAGATCAGTGCTTTCATGATTCCAGGCCAAGTGAAGGGGAGCATTTCAGTTTAGTG